CCGTCCCGCCGGCTCGGCGGGGAGCGGAGAGGAGCCCCGGCTGAGGCAGGCCGGCATCGCGGCGGGGACCAGGGGAGGCTGTGGGCCCTGCGGGAGAGGCTCCGGCGGTTGCGTGCCCTCTAACACCTTACAGCCTTAAAAACGCTCCCACGTCTTTTGGCTTGTATTTTACACACCATTTCTCTGCCGTTACAGCGTTTCACGCTGTAACGGCAGAAAAATGGTGTGTAAAATACAGGGATGGGTCGTGGGGAGAGTTAGTCATGAGGTGGGAAGTAACGTGGCCTCTTAGAAAGGGAGAAAAACCCAAGCAGGTGTCACTGCCCGTGTGTGGGGAATGGTAGCAGCTTCTCTCCAAAAAAAGTGGTGCCTTTTAGTCTTTTAAGAAACGAACTCGACCCTTTTTAATGTCACATCTGGTTTGTAAATAGAATGGATGTGAGGGGGTTGGCCCCTGGCGGATCTGCTGAGCTCATGGCTGCTGTCAGAGGCACAGGTCGGGGTGTTGTGTTGTGTGAGGGTGTTGTGTTGTGCGAGGTGTTGAATACAGGTGTGTAAAATACAGGGATGGGTCGTAGGGAGAGTTAGTCATGAGGTGGGAGGTAACGTGGCTTCTTAGAAAGGAAGAAAACCCAAGCAGGTGTCACTGCCCGTGTGTGGGGAATGGTAGCAGCTTCTCTCCAAAAAAAGTGGTGCCTTTTAGTCTTTTAAGAAACGAACTCGACCCTTTTTAATGTCACATCTGGTTTGTAAATAGAATGGATGTGAGGGGGTTGGCCCCTGGCGGATCTGCTGAGCTCATGGCTGCTGTCAGAGGCACAGGTCGGGGTGTTGTGTTGTGTGAGGGTGTTGTGTTGTGTGGGGGTGTTGTGCGAGGGTGTGCGTGCATCCCCGCGCCCATCACACCACCCAGAACGCTGCTCCTCTTCTAGGTCCTCCATCCTGAGCGAAGTTTCTACCCGGTCAAGATCTAAATTGCTGGGGGTGTTGTGTTGTGTGAGGGTGTTTGTGTGAGGGTGTGTGTGCGTCCCGGCACCCGTCACACCACCCAGAACACCGCTCCTCTTCCAGGTCCTCCATCCTGAGTGAAGTTTCTACCCGGTCAAGATCTAAATTGCCATCGGGCAAGAATATCCTTGTTTTTGGTAAGTAGCATATGCGGGTGGTGGGTTGTTTTGGAGGGGTTTTTTTTTGTAGAAACAAAGTGTGTTTAAAACAATGATGCGAAGGAGCTGACCCATCAGGTTGTGTTATATAAACTTTGGTATTTTTGTCTTCAGGCTGGTGGGTTTACGTTCTTTCTGGTGTATGCTGTTAGATTTATAACATAGATCTAGATTTTTGTTTATATCTAAACAAATGCAGTGTAACACAGACTAGTGAAGAGCTTCATTCCTGTTGTCATGATATAAGCATGTGGGGAATGGTAGCAGCTTCTCTCCAAAAAAAGTGGCGCCTTTTAGTCTTTTAAAAAATGAACTCGACCCTTTTTAATGTCACGTCTGGTTTGTAAATAGAATGGATGTGAGGGGGTTGGCCCCTGGCGGATCTGCTGAGCTCATGGTTGCTGTCAGAGGCGCAGGTCGGGG